CTCCGCCGAGCCTGCCCGGACACAGGGTGTAGTCTGGGGGGTCTGTGCCTCGTGGGTCTGTTAAAAACCTCTGTGCGTCTGAGGGGCTGCAGCATAGCTGCTCTGCCGTTCCTGGCTGAAAGTGTGAATCCTTCCAGCGTGGAAGGGCCGGAGTGAGGGTGGAATTGTAATGCTGAGTTTGTGCTTTGCGGCCTATGCAGAACACCTGGTTAGCAAACAGCACACCTTGGCAGCTCAGCTCGTGGCACAGCAGCTTACAGAGCTCTCATAAATACAGCTCTGCCTTCATGCTGTGGGTTGTAAGCCACAGCAGTGGAAACTTGCTGCTTGTGTGGGGTCAGGGGGTTTGTCTCACCTCCTCTGGGCAGGAGGTGCTGCCAGGTGGTTCAGCCTTGGACTGGGTTTGTTGTGCAGCTCCTCATTGTTATCCTGAGGGTGCTGGAACTTCCTAAAATTTGATTCCCTCCTTCCAAATGCTTCATTCCACATATGGGGTTTTTTTTTATCTTCTGTTTGCCAATGTGGTGGCAGGTCAGGGCTGCGCAAACAGAGCCACAAGGATGGGCTTAGCATTTCATCTTAGCTTTCCAAGTTTGTTGGTGGTTTAGTTTATGACTGAGATTTTTAGATCCTGTAGTTTCTTCACTTATCATAGAATCGTAGAATTTTAGGGGTTGGAATGGACCTCAGAGGTTGTCCAGCCCCAGCCCCCTGCCCTGGGCAGGGACACCTCCCACCAGAGCAGGTTGCTCAAGGCTTTATCCAACCTGGCTATGAACACTGCCAGGGTTGGGGCAGCCACAACCTCCCTGGGCAACCTGTGCCAGTGTCTCACCACCCTCACATGATTGAAGAAAGATCTATGAGTGTGAACTCAATATATTTAGCATTGTTATCATGTTCTTTATCATCCTGTCCCCATTGTTCTGTTTTGGAAAGTCTCAAAGTCATATTTTTTCCAGGTGCTTTTTCCAATTAAATCTGAGTATATTTTATAAATGAATCTAGGGAGAAAAAAATGTGAATATTCTGTAATATCTGAATTGAGTATTGTTATCTGTTTTCCTCCTATTTTCCTTCCTTTTCTGATATTTTTGAGAATGTATCAAAATATTGCTGAAGCAGCAAGCGTTAGGGCAGGAAATAATGGAGCTGTTGGCAGAAAGGCTCAGGATTGAAGGGGAAAAACAAAAAGGGGATTCCCTTAAGAGAAGTTTTGTCAAAGGACTGTGACTAGAGAGCTTTGTTGCTGTGGTGAATGGATCTGGGGAAGGTGCGTGTGTTCTTCAGGAGGCTGGAGCTGTAGTAGAAGAGCTGTGGCTGTGTGATAGTTGAAGTGCTCGTGCAGCTCAATTCCCTCACTGCGTTAGAGGAAAGACACTACCAGGGAAGGAGTGTGTTGTGGCTCACTCAGTTTGAGTAGTGACCTCCAGAGAGGCCTGTGTGAAAAAAAGAAGAAAGACTTGTTCAAAAAGGCTGAACAAGAAACAAAGATGTTTTGTGTTGTTTTTTTTATTACAGACAGACTTATTTTCTGCTGCTGCTGTCTTACATCTCCGAAATGTGTTTCTTCATTATGTGCAATATTTTTTCCTCAGTGAAATCATAGAGTCACAGACTGGTTTGGGTTGGAAGGGCCCTTAAAGCTCATTCCATTCCAGCCCCCTGCCATGGACAGTGACATCTCCCACCAGACCAGGTTGCTCCAAGCCCCATCCAACCTGGCCAGGAACACTCCCAGGGCTGGGTCAGCCCTAACTTCTCTGAGCAACCTGTTCCAGTGCCTCAGCACCCTCACAGGGAAGAATTTCTTCCTAAAAGAAAGAAATAAAGAATTAGAAATAGAATTAATAAAGAGTTTTGCAATTCTGTGTATTAATTTTATCTAACTGTTAATCAAATGCCTCCTTTCATTCCTGCCATGTCAAAGCTATTTTTAAAATCTTTTTCTTTAGGCAAATCTAACATAATGGATGCTGTTAGCTTTGTGATGTGTGAAAAGACATCCAGTTTGCGAGTTAAAAGTGTTCGAGAGCTTATCCATGGAGCACATGTTGGAAAACCAGTTTCTTCTACAGCTAGTGTGAAGATAGTGTATTGTGAGGAAGATGGGGAAGAAAAAACATTTTCAAGAGTTATCCGTGGTAGGTAGTAGATCCTATTGCATGTTCTGTCTGATATGTGAAAAATGGAGACCAAAAATATTCAACTGTGAATTTCAGATGCCTAAAGTTCATAGTTTGTGAATTAATGGAGTCCTTCAGTAGCATTTTGGTAGGGATATAAATGAAAAAACATGCCAAGGATAATTAGTTAAAAAATTGAACAAGTGGTTATTGTATGTTTTTTGCTGTTTGTCTGTCTGTCTGTAGTTATTCTTTGGGGTCTGTGGATGCTGTAGGCACTTGGAAATGGGGTCTGACACCTTGATGTAGGCACAAGCACTTAAGTATGTCAGTACCTTCTGAAAGTGTGAAACTAGGATTTTCATGCAGTAAAATGAAGTTATTGAAAAGAATAAAGGACTCATTGAAATCTGTTTTCTTCTTTGAGGAAATTGCTCTGTTAAATTGCTCCTCTAGTTTAGTGCTTTTCAGGTGGGTTTTGTGCTGTAGCCATTTTTAGTAGTAATTTTTTTCTTCTTTCCTCCTGTAGGTAGTTGTACTGAATTTCTTTTCAATGACAAGTCTGTCAGCCGATCTGCTTACATAGCTGAGCTTGAGAAAATAGGGATTCTTGTCAAGGCTAGGAATTGTCTAATTTTTCAGGTGAGCATTTGAGGTACTTTGTAAAGGAAGGGAAAGCTGCTGAGGTTATTTCATACAAGAGTTACCTGTAGAGAACACCCTTAGCCACCTACAAGCCAATATATTTTTTTATGACTTTCACCAAGGATTGCAAGACCACAGAATAGAAATGGTGGGGTTTGTGTGTACATGAGAGCACTAATAAAAGTAATCTGGAAGAAATGGAGTAGCTTGTATTATTCACAGTATATAAGAAAGTGTTGGTTTCTATAAATGCTTAGTGTATTCAGTTCTAGGAGGGTTAGGAAAAGATAATTTCATCTTACAACACTTGTATTAGTAAAGATGCATGAAAATGTAAAGGATTTTTTTTGTTAAACTGAGGGATTGAAAATTTTTCCAGGCTATGAGTTCCCAAGAATTTAATTATATAGGTCAGAAATACTTCACCCTTATGATGCACACATTCACGAGACTGTCTTCCTTACAGTTGCTAAGGAAAATTCCCAAGGAAGAACTGATTTTTTTGCCTTTTCTAGAAGCCTGGATGGCTAGGTGATACTCCTTTTGGCACTACATTTTTCCTTGAGTTTGAACTACAAGTATTCCATCCAACTCTGTTCACCATAAATGTATACAGAGATCAATCTGTGCTATATGCTGGTAAAGAAAATTAGGCAGCAGAATGAACTATCATGCTGCAGTATTTATTTATTTTTTAATTGTGTTGTAGGGAACAGTAGAATCAATTGCAATGAAGAGGCCAAAGGAGAGGACTCAACTTTTTGAACAAATCAGTAATTCATGGGAATATGCTGAGGACTATGAGCAGAAGAAGAGGAAAATGCAGCAAGCAGAAGATGATGCACAGTTTAATTATAACAAGAAAAAAAGTGTTGCAGCAGAACGCAAACAAGCAAAGATAGAGAAAGATGAGGTAACTCACTCCTTTTTTGCATGTAAAGGTACCTGATTTTGCATCTTCTCTCACCTTAAATACAGTTAAAAGAAGAAACAAACAACCAAACCTCTGTCATTCATCTAGTATTTTTTTCACTATTGCATAATGTGTAATAATTTAATATCATTTAAAAGGGTGGAGGAATACATACAGTAAAATCTAAATAAATGAAAGCATAGGTTTGCCAATATAATAAATTTGAAATTAAGTATAGACTTACATGTGTGAGTTTTATGATTAGTGCACATTACTGGGATGAGAGTTACTGGGACATCAACTTGCATCACTTTGGACTTGAAATTAGACTGCTAATGATGGAAAATCATTGCTATAAACCATCAGTGAATTTTTTATGTTGGTAGGCAGAGCATTACCAGATGCTTCTGAAGGATCTGGATGAAGAAAGGATACTGCTACAACTTTTTCAGCTTTATCACAATGAAAAAAACATTGACTTTCTGAGAACCAGTTTGGATGAGAAGAATATGGAGGCTAGTATAAAGAAAAAGTCTCTTGCTGCAGCAGAAGATTCATTTAGAGAGAAGAAAAAAGCACTTGGCATGCTAAACAGGGACCAACAGCATCTGGAAAAAGAAATGAAGTAGGTTTTTCACTGAGATTCTGTGATAGCTGAATTAAAGCATGGTCTGCACTGGGAATTGCTTGGCAGGTGTGCTCTTCCTGTTAAACAGCTGGGGGACAGCCCAGTGCTGGGGAAGTGAGTTTGTAGCATGGTTTCACCTCCTCCACCATGCCCAGATTGTCACTAATTTCACTAGATAAATGCTGTTTGCTATTAAATTTTAGATGGTTATGCTTCACTTCTGAAACTTCTATTTTCACTGGATGTAAAAACACAAATCCCCTGAGGGTATACCCACAGCCTTGCAGCTGAAAACTGTATGTCTGGTTGAGAGGGGGGTTTTCTTCTGTCCTCTCCACACTTTTGCCTCTCCCACTCCCCATTTCCCTATCCCATTCTCCATCCCTTTCCCCTATGTGTCTGTTGTTTTGTGGTGGTTGGATGTTAGGTTGTTTTTTTGGGGTTTGTCTTTTGTTTTGTTTTTTAGGACTCTGGAAGCATCACTGATTCAGCAGAGACCCCTTTATATAAAGGCAAAGGAAAACACTTCCTACCAAATCAAGAAAGTAGAAATGTCTAAAAAATCACTAAGGGACAAGGAGAAATCCTGTGATAAGGAAAAGCAGAACATAAAAGAACTAGAGCTAGAACTGAATGACATTGAGAAGGCCTGGACAGCATTTGAGGAGAAAGCTGAAGTGGCAATAATGCGGAGAGCAGCAGAGATTGAGCTGGGAGAAAGTCAGGTGAACCAAGAGGCCCTAAAGTACTGCTTACTAAAGAAGTCCAAAAATCCCCCCAGTTACAGGGAAGGCATTATTTCACCCACACCCAATGATTTCTAGCGATCTCTTTCCTCTTGAGCTCCAGCAAAACCAAAATTCTAACGTTTATTTAGAGGCTGTTCCATCCCATGAAGAGGAATGCTGATGCAGCCTCCTGGGGGACTGAGCTGTCTCCCTTCTGGCAGGGGAGTGGGGGAATCCATCTCACAAATGTGTCACAGTTCTAGAGTAGATGCATAAGGATTTAGATGTTCACCATTGTGAGACTGGAAATGGTAAGCTTCTTTCCTAGGGAGTGAAGTACATCTTTGAAGTAGCGTGTGGAAATCTTTTCTTACAGGAAGCAGTAAATTTTCAGGGAACAAGGAAGAAAATTTGATGGAAGCTTCAGAAGGGTTGTACACAGGCACTGTCACCTGTGGTGTAAAAATTTTATGGAAGCTTCAGAAGGGCTGTACACAGGCACTGTCACCTGTGGTGTAGGGTTATAGTTGTGTGTGATTATGCAGGGTTAGGTTGTTCTCTCTAGCTTGTTCTTTTTCCCCTTCCTTCATGGAAGTCCACATGGTACATTGTGGGAGGGTAGAACAGAAAACATTCAACAAGGTCTCAGGGTGAGAGGGCCATTTTTGTGAACTGCCTTTCCACTAAGGTACCAGTCAGGGAACAGCAATGAACATAACAAAAAAGCAGATAGGACTTGTTAGTACACATACCACCTGCTCTGGGTCGCAGTCTGGAGCTGGGGGAGCTCACTTGAGCAGGAAAGGACTACATTCCTTTTCAGTAAATTCACTTTGGAAGAAACTATCTTTGCAGCCATATGGCAAGAAATATTTCTAAAGGTACATGCTAGACTTTTTCCCCATCTTGTCCTTAAAATAGTTTCTGCTCAATCAGTGGAGAACCTGCAGGGTTGTTCTTTCAGTTTGTGAATCTTCCTGCTCTGCACTTCAGAGGCATTTGGTCAGCCATAAATTTGCAGGATTGCTTAAAATGTTTATGTTTGCCTCACTAAATGAATATTACCTTAACAAATGGAACCATTTGACATGAGACTGTCAAATTATTTAACATGAAAATGCTGTCATTATAAATACCAAAACTTGCACTAATTTTGGGCTCAAAAGCTTAGTGTTAACCTTAAGATTGAATGTGAAGTCCTGTTAACTTTCCTGAGCAGTAAGATTCATTAAGAAGTCTAAAACGAGACTGTAGACAAGAGCTCTTAAGTGCAAGTTTTGGATTGAATCTTTCCCTGGAAAAAAAATAATTATAAGTTCTTATAATGGCAGCTGGAAGAATCTTCTGGAGACTTGAGTGGTTTTCATAATCTTAATTATGAAGAAGTAGGCAATTGCTACTTGAGGCTGTAACACTATGAGTCCTCCCACTTGCTGAGCAGTGAACGTTTTGTTTATTTCTCTTTATCCAGTTGGAGCGTTACAAGGAGCTAAAAGAAATAGCAAGAAGGAAAGTAGCTACACTGACCCAACAGCTGGAAAAACTTCGTTGGGAGGAAAAAGGAGATCAAGAAAAGCTGAAACTTAATCGGAGGAAGAAAAACGAAGTTGAGGTATTTGTATCAAACCAGAACTGTGTTTTAAGGAGTAAAATGCCTCTCTGCCCCTCCCTCTGGTATAACTCTGTAGATAAATGTGCTCAATGGTTTGACATAAACAAATCCTCATCAGAGATGCATTGCAAGTGTTAGTTCAGTTTTCATATTGCAACGGGTTTAGCAAAATGGCTTTAAATTTGTTCAGGGATTGGTTGTGTGGGCCTACACTGAGCATTTGGGTTTGAAAGCTTTGGCTCTAATATTTCACAGTTCCTCAGAACATGTGCTTAACTGTCATCAGTTCCTGGTTCTGTAAGTGCAGTTTTTCTGTCTGAGATGTCCCACTGCTGTTGTGTATCTGTACAATGCTCACACCCTGCAGAGGTGTGTTTTGATCAATCACACCTGCCTTTTTGCTTAGGTGGTTTTAGGGTCAGTTGTGTGTATGTGAGTGTTGTAGGTGGAAAAATCTTGGTGTCCACTCTTCTATTGCACTTCAGAGGCAGGTGTTTGGTGTGAATACAGATCAGCCATTTTGATTCTGGTATATTTTATCATTACAGATCCAAATATGTAGCAGTAGAATACCTAAATTTTTCACTTATGGCTTGATTACCATGCCTGATGTTTGCTTCTGATACAAGTAAAAAGGACAGAAGTTCAGCTGATGTTCTGTCTTTTGTTGGGAGCCTTGTCCTGTTAGGTGTTTTGAGCTTTGTTTTTCTTCCAACTCTGCAAACTATACAGTTTTGTTGCCTGCTAAGAAGTTAGAGAGGTAATGTGCATTTCTTCACCATTTAGTTATGGAGTCAAGATTTGGGGGAGACTCCTTATGTTCAGAAAACTTAAACGTCATTCAGATGAGACTTTGAGTGATAGAGTTCCTAACACCTGAATCTTGTACATGTAAACTGCTTCTGTGGAAAAGTTTATATTTTACTGTATGAAGATATAAAGTCATCCTTGCCACGATAGCTAAGTTAGTATTTGTACGTCCATTTTCCCTTCATAGAATCCCAGACAGATTTGGGTGGGAAGAGACCTTAAAGCTCATCCCATTCCATCCCCTTGCCATGGGCAGGGACACCTTCCACTAGACCAGGTTGCTCAGAGCCCCATCCAACATGGCCTTGAATGCTTCCAGGGATGGAGCAGCCACAGCTTCTCTGGGCAACCTGTGCCAGTGCCTCAGCACCTCACAGGGAAGAATTTCTCTCTAATATCTAATACAAATCTATTCTATGTCACTTTGAAGCCATTGCCCCTTGTACTGTCACTCCAGACTCTTGTGCATTCTTTCACATAGTTTCCTTCCATGTCACCCATTTCTTGGATGCAATTAGGTCACCCCAGAGCTTTCTCATCTCCAGGCTCTAGATAGAATACTATTTCTTTTGAAGTACTAGTTACCAGGAAAATGTAGTTAGTATGTAAAAGTGAAATAAATTCTATCATTTGTGCTTCTAAACCTGTGCAAGTTCCATTATTTTGTTGAGAAAGGAATAAGAGATACTTCATTGTGCATGAAATGCTTCTCTCGTGGATAGGCAAGCATTGAAGTGGGTGCACAAGGAGGTTGATTCTCCATCTCTAGAGCTATTCAAAGGTCACAAGGATTTTGGGAGTTAAAGTAAGGCTTAATAAAATGTGTGGGTAACAGTATTCTTTTCATTTGCTTCAGTTAGTGTGTTTTTATTCAATTTGAGTAATTGAAAATAATTGTTTTGCTCTTGGTTTGTTTTTTACTAGAGTGTTTTGTGTCAGTTTGGAAGCTCTCTGTCAACTTCTTTGTGTGTCCTTCTCATTGATTTAGGGCCAAGAAAAGTTCCTCTTCTGTTTTAACACCTCTAATCTACCAATTCTCTGTTTAAAGTTGTTTTATTTGTTGGTTTCAGGATTATCTGGTCTGCAGAGGCTTTCTCTAAAATGTTGCTGGGCATGAAAAATCCAGAAATGGCCTTGATACAATAATTTCCCTTTATTATTGATGGTGCGATTTGGCATCTGCTATTGCAAAAGAGATGCTGTTAATTCAGTGGGAAGTAGCTGTAAGGAAGAAATGTCCCATCTCAGTACTTGTTCTGAATTAAGAGCTTTGTATCTTGCTATGAAACTGTTGTTTTCCTCTGGTTGGTTTTAATACATTCTGTGTGTGGTTGCTTAGGGAAGCATAAAACAGACTGTGGAGCAGATAGAAGAGCATAAAAAACGCGTAGAGAAGTTGGAGGAATATAACAAGATCTGCAGGTATGGGCAAAAATGTAAAAGCTAATTGCACTTCTTGTGTATTACGTATTTGCAAACTAATATAGCAGCTTTTTGATTCTATCTAACTATTTTCTTTAAAATGTGAATAAGAGAATTCTTACTACTTAATATTTCAGATGCTTTAGCTGTCAAAATAACGTAGGCACGATGATGATTTTGTTTGAATCAGTTCTGTAATTCTAATTTCTCACAAATGATGTCACTGTGGGTATGGGGCTGTTAGTGGACAAATTCTGAGCCAGAGGACAGGGCAGTTCTGTAGTTGTGCTGCTCCAGAAGGCATTAATAGTTAAGTTTTGTGTTAGCACAGCTCAGTTCTTGCCTTCTGAGTTTTGTCTTCTGCCTGATTTTCACTCCCTGTGAAGTGAGGTGACCAGAGAATGACTTTAATTTATACTAGAAGTCTGTATACATGAAATAATGAACTGCTTTTTATTTTTGCTTCAATTCCAAGCGAGTCACTGACAGAGAAAAAGCAGCAAGAGGAAGCACTGGTTAAGGAAATTGAGTATTCAGCAACACGAATGGCTGAAGTGAAGGAGGAATTGAACAAAATAGTTACTGAGCTGCAGAATGCCAAAATTGATTACCACGAGGGAAGGCGTGAGCAGATGAGAGCAGAGGTCCTGGAAAGCCTCAAAAGGCTCTATCCAGATTCTGTGGTAATGGAATGGCCTTATTTCAATGCTTCGTTTTACGGCTAAGAGTTGAGCCTTAGACTGAGTATGCAGCTAGAGCAAACAGGACAGTCTCAAATGTTCTTTTAAACCCTGTGCTTGCTTGAGTGGTCCTGGTGAAATAGCAGCAGATGCTGCCAGTATTTGTCACAGTTTGCAAAACCAGAGAGATTACAGCTTGCATCGTAATGTAATTTTGATCTCTTGTGTTTATGGTGTTTATTTTCTCGGTTTGGTTTTTTTCTGTCCTCAAACATATTTTTGACTAACTTATTTTAAACAAAGGAGTGTTCGCCATGAGGTCACTTATTCCAGAAGGAATACTTCTTTCAAATGGTCTGTCCTTTTCTTATCTGTTGGCATATTTTACTTATTTTCCTTAAATTGCTCTTCAGTAATGCCATTAAGTGTTTTGTGTACCGATTCTGAGTTACCAGCAGACATTGACTGGTTTATGCAGCATATTCACACTTCTAAGTGACACGCAAGTGCTTACTCCAACACTCAAAGCCATTCCAAATTAGAACACTTAAATAAATCTAATCAATTGAATAGTTAGCCTCTGAGTATGCTGCTCAGTGTGACTAGTCCTTTTTGGTACACACAGTCAGTTGGGATGCACAGGCTGGAGAAGTTTTTTTAAAAATGTTTAGCAAGTGACATACCTTGGCTTCCTAGTGTTGCCCTAAGAACATAAAAATAAAATGTTTTCAGTTTTTCTTTGCTTCTGGGTTTTCTGCAAAACCTTCTCAAAATCTGTCAAGCGTCTGATCCTGTGGTTTTCTCCAGTGATTAAGAAATTGGCTTTTCAGCTGTTCTGCAGAATATTTTCATCCAAGTTAGCAAGATGGTCCAGAAAATCAGAGATGTGATTGGTATAGCTCTTTTTGCTCACTCTTTGCTTTATATCCCTATTTGAGAAGAACTGGGCCAGACTGGTGATGCCTTGCTGGCTTAGGGCAGGGCTGGTGTCAAGGTTGCTCTCAGTCCTTTACCTTCAGGAGCTGCAGATTTCAGAGTACTTACAGATATGATGGCTCCTAAGAAATGAAAATGAGATAAGGCTAATTGGTTACATACATATCCTGCTACAGGAGACCTTAAAGATACCTGCTTCGGTTTCCCTTGTTCCTGCAGTAGTATTCCCAGCACCAGCTTACAGGGCAAGAGAGTTGTTTCTGAGCTGCTCTTTAACTCTCCTCTGTGCTAATTTCAGCTGAGCGAACACAACCTAAATTACAGTCTTAGGAAAGTAGATCATAGTAGGACATGATTTCCACTAGGTTAAATGTCTCAGCTGTGCTGTTTGTGAGACAATACTGTGCATGACCTATCACACAGCTCTTAGCAGCTGTCTTTTCACTAGCTTAAATTTGGTAAGGATAACACCATAGATATGCAAGCAAAGACCAGCAACTGTATGCCAGCAAGAAAAGAAGTTCTTGCATGAGTTCACAGGTTATAGTGTTCAGAATGTGCATTCATATGTTTGATCACTGAGAATAAGCTCAACTGTGCCTGTAATTGCAGAAAAGGATCAAAAGACCTTTGGGGAGCATGTACAATACAGAGCTAAGTAGTTTTGTTTGTGGAGGTGTTATTTCAACACATGCCAAAAGAGGCTTGATTATTTGGGCTATGCAGTACAAGAAAAGCAGTTTTTATTCTTCTCATGCTACTTCTTTTTTGGGTTGAAACTGGAATAGTGCCTCTCTTGCTGCCATTTTCCAGCTAGCAGTTCTATTTACTTCAGACCTTATTGTCATTTTAAGATCTTCCTGAGCGTTAGATACTTTCTTTCCAAAAAATGATGCTTAGCTAAGTTTGTCATTCTGTCATGCCTCTAGAAATGTATGCTAGAGATTCTCAGTAGAATATTGAGATATATAGCTGCAGCCTTAGAGAAAAAATTGAATCCCTTCACATTCTGAAGGCAAACTTGAGAGTTGGGCTGTGATTGCTATGATTTCTGCTTTTCTGATGTCCAGCCATTGTGAGAGAGTACAGCTGGTAGATATGAAGCACATTTTCTTCTTACTACTTCAGTGTCTAGTATGTAGATATATTATTTGATGTCTAAAGTAACGCATTAATATTTCTCTGTGTTTTATTCTCAGTTTGGAAGACTGCTTGACCTGTGTCATCCTGTTCATAAAAAGTACCAGCTTGCTATTACTAAGGTATTCAGCAGATTCATGACTGCTATTGTTGTTGCCACTGAGAAAACAGCAAGAGATTGCATTCATTTCCTCAAACAAGAGCGAGCTGAACCTGAAACATTTCTTGCTTTGGATTACCTTGATGTAAGTATGTTTTATTTTCCTATCATCAGCAAGTTAATGCACTTGTAAATCTGTTTTGTTGATCACACATAACCAACTTGGTGAATCTATGCTGACTAGTTCTCCAAGATTTCTTGTTGTTCATGTGTCTGGAGATGGTTTCTAGGATAAGTTGCTCCGTCAGTTTTTCTGGGATCAAGATGAGGGTGCCTGTCCTGTAGTTCCCTGGGTCCTCTTCCTTGCCCCTTTTTGAACACAGGAGTGACACTGGTTTTTCCCTAGTCCTTAGGCACCTCTTTCAATTGCCATGATTGTTCAAAGATACATGGAAAGTGGCCTTGAAACAACATCGGCTTCTCCTTCAGCACTGCTGGTTGCATCAGACTAGGGCCCATGCATTTATGCATGTCCAGTTCACTTAAATATTCCCTGATCTGATCCCCTTTCATCAAGAGTATGTCCTCCTTGTTCCAGACTTTCCGCTGGTCTCTGGAACCCAGGATTCCTGGAGGCTAGACTTGCTAGTAAAGACTGAGGTGAAAAATTAATTCAGTACCTCAGTCTTCTCCATATCCTGTGTCGCCAGGCCCTATCCCTGCCTCTGACTCCTGTTTGCTTCCTTTTTGTGTTTGCACTTTGCCAGGAGTTCCTTGATAATCCATGCAGAGCTCCTGGCATTTTTGCCTAGCTTCCTGCTTATGGGGATGTTCACTCTTAAGACTGGAGGAGCTGATCCTTGAATATTAACCAGCATTCTTGGGCCCCTCTTCATTCTGGGGCCCAATTCCATGGGACTCTGCCAAGCAGATGTTTGGAGTGGCCAGATGTGCTGGTTTGAGTTGAAGTAGAGTTAACCTTCTTCACAGAGACTAGTATGGGGCTATGTTTGGGTTTTGTGCTGAACACAGAGTTGATAACGCAGAGATGTTTTTGTTATGGCTGAGCAGAGCTTACACAGAGTCA